TTTTTTTTTTTTTTTTTAACTTATTGGGGTGAATTTGGTGTACAATTCTATAAGACATCATCTGTATGTTGTATTGTGTGTTCACCACCCAAAGTCAAGTCTCCTTCCATCACCACTTATCCCCCCTATACCCTCTTCTACCTCCTTCCCACCTCCCTGATTCCATTCTTGATATGCACTTTGGAAATGGGTGTTTTCCTTGTTCCTTACCCCTCTTTGTTTTTGTTTTAAGTTTTCAGAAACCTGGAAGGATTATAGAGGGGGAGTTTTTAGAATGCTTATTCTGTTTCAGTCTGAGTAATTCACATTTAGAGGCACAATATCAAATGCTCTCTCCTAAACTGACCCCTCAAGGAGGGTGATGTAGGGGACACTGAGCATACTCCTGAGTGGCAGTTAGTCTTCTGGACTTTCTAGCAGTTGGCAGAAGAGAGATTTGTGGTGAGACATCATTTGATTCGATATGCCAAGTTACATCCATGTTTTCCCCAGAGAAGATCTAACTTGGAATGAGAAGGGTATGGAGATGGTGGAGATATTCTTGCTAGAAAGTATTTGAGCTGTTTTTTTTTTGTTTTTTTTTTCCTAGACATCGACTATGATGTACACATTTTCAGTGTCTCAGAGTTACAGCCTGAACTAAATCCAACCATTGACCCAGAGTCAACCACTGACTTATACCCCACTGATACTGTAGATCCAACCACTGACTTAGACCTCACTGATACTGTAGACCCAACCACTGACTTAGACCTCACTGGTACTGTAGAGTCAACCACTGACTTATGCCCCACTGATACTGTACAGTCAACCACTGACCTAGACCTCACTGATATTGTAGACCCAACCACTGACTTAGACCTCACTGGTACTGTAGAGTCAACCACTGACTTATGCCCCACTGATACTGTAGAGTCAACCACTGACCTAGACCTCACTGATATTGTAGACCCAACCACTGACTTAGACCTCACTGGTACTGTAGAGTCAACCACTGACTTATGCCCCACTGATACTGTAGAGTCAACCACTGACCTAGACCTCACTGATATTGTAGACCCAACCACTGACTTAGACCTCACTGGTACTGTAGAGTCAACCACTGACTTATGCCCCACTGATACTGTAGAGTCAACCACTGACCTAGACCTCACTGATATTGTAGACCCAACCACTGACTTAGACCTCACTGGTACTGTAGAGTCAACCACTGACTTATGCCCCACTGATACTGTAGAGTCAACCACTGACCTAGACCTCATTGATACTGTAGACCCAACCACTGACTTAGACCTCACTGATACTGTAGAGTCAACCACTGACTTATGCCCCACTGATACTGCAGAGCTGACCACTGACCTAGACCTCACTGATACTGTAGATCCAACCACTGACCTAGACCTCACTGGTGCTGCAGAGTCAACTACTGATTTTTATTTGGAGAATACACAGGCTTTGGGTAAGTAAAGGTTCTGACTGCAGAGGAAGCCTGGGCAGGAGTTGGTGGGCTCCCTTGTTTTGCATTTCTGGGGGAAAGGCTGCTTTCCTCCAGTGAACTGTATTCCCAGCATAAGGCATGACCACACCCATATCCCATTCTGTTTTCCTAGAATTGTCTACTGAAGTGGGATCTAACATCCCCAGCATTGCAGAAGAAGCCAGTGAGGAGGTCACAGGTAAAAACGCCTATCATCTAGAATGCAGACATCTCTGCCTGCCTCTTCTCTCCATATTCACAGCTCATTGAGTAGGAATGTCCTGTGGTGACTTACACAGCTGGGGGTACCTTGCTGCTCTGTTCTCTGAGGTGATACACATACATTGTGAAATGATTACCACAATAAGGTTTCTTTGAAACTTGAGGAAAATTGAAGCATTTCCCCAGTGTCAGGAGATGGAACCATTTGAATACCTACAAGTTCCAACCTGGAGGTGGCCCTGACCTCATCTCCGGGACCAGCCTTCTGGGCTTCTCTAAAGAGGACAAGTTTCCTGTGTCTCCAAAGGGTCAATGAATATGGTGGCAAAAATAGTTTAAGAATTTGCTCTTCTTTTCCAGTTGATTAAAATTCAATTTACACAGGGAACTTTTTGAATGAAGATTATGTAAGTGTAAATCTTATTTGCATTTTGGCAGAACAGAAGAAAAGGGGATTTAAAAGCTTCCAAAAGGGAGCAGTGGTCCTATCTCTGCCCGTCACTCTCTCAGGCCTTCATTTCTTTCATTTTTCTGTCTGCCCCTTAGCCATGGGGTCATAAGATTTCAATGCCCCTGTCACAATGAACAAAACTCAATAGCTTGTGGGGTACCTTCATTTTTGCTAAGAAAGAGTCTTGGGCCTTCCCTACAAAACCAAGTTTTAAACAATCTGATTCTTATATCTACAAATAATAGCTAACATTTGTTGAGATTTACTATATTCCAGCACTGCCCTACATGTATTGGGGGAATGTAGGTAGTAATTACAGGAAGCTAGTACTTGTATTTTAGTGACAGCTGAAGGGTCTATTAAAAAAGAGTTGGTTCTCTGGCTTTAAATTCTTCCTTTTCAACTAATTATCCTCTCACAGAATATCCCTCATTTGCAAAATGAAGCTCTGTCTCAGTATTGTGCTCTCACTGCCCAACCTGTAGTGGCTGATTAATAAGTTAATGTAAGTTAATGCTGTCTCCCACCCTAACACTCCCATCCTTACTCCTATCCCATGGGGCAAATTCTCATGTTTCACTATACGAGCAAGATGCAGCCTCATGGCCCAGAGCCATCTTGTCATTTCTGCTTATATACTGGACCCATAGCCTGCTTATCAAGAGATGCTTTCTGGCTGTGGCAATTACCAGTGACCTGAGTTTTATTCCCCCCTACAATGCATTTATTTACTTAATATTTTTCCAGTTTTATTGAGATATAATTGACATATAACTTTGTGTATGTTTAAGGTGTACAATATGACTTGCTATATGTATATATTGAGAAACTGTGGTGTTTAATAGGAAGAGAAAATTCATGGAGGTTCTAACCTTTGAAATTAAGAAAGTGACTTCATTATTTCTAGCAAGTGCCATTGGTGATTATCTAGAAGACCCCTTGGCTGAGGCACCAGGTAAGACCAAAGATCTTGGACTTTTTTGTCTATTCTTGGAATTTGAGGGATATTTTTCTTTATGGCTTTCCAGGACAGACTCAAGAAGTGGGGTTCTGAGGTACCTGCCCGTGTGTACACCCTTCTCAGCCAGGTGCATGTTCACTTAGCTGAGTCCACTCTGGGGGAGAAGATAGGACTTGGCTCTTGCACATAAGATATGACCAGTTCATGTGTTCTTCTCAGGGACTTCCAAGTGTGAATGGAGACCAGCTCTATATCCAAATCCTTCTCATGGAGTGTGTTTGCGTTTCACTTCCGCAGGCAGGATTTCAGGCAGGGCAGAGTTCATGGTGGGTAGGAGAGGGTGGTTTTGGTGGCACAGACTCGGGAGAGTCCCACGTTTACTAGGGCTACTTGAGGCTGTTAGCTGAATGCTAGACACACTGTGAGTGATACTGGGAGTGAATAAAAACCATTTCTTTACTTAATTGCAGATGAGCCCAGCACCTTCATGGAAAGCAAGGAGTTCACCTCAGTGCTTGTTTGTAAGTTTCTTCTCTCTTGCCCCTGATATCTTACTAGGGATTTAACACTATTTTCAATGCCAGTTTTAATCCACTGGAAAAGGACTCCAAACTTCACAGCCTTCCAGGATGCTGAGACCAGCTATAAAATCTACTTGAAGGTTAAAAACAAACTTTTCTCTCTCAGGTTTATCTTCCAAATCTAATTGTCTGGAATTTCAGTAATCAAATAGACATAGGATAAACAAGTTCTCTCCCTTGATTTTCCAGTATTTCCTTCTTCCCATCTCTCTAGCATGGGGATTCCAGTCCAGCCCATAGAATCTTTTCAAGGGAGGCTGCAGAAAGGGCATCCGATTTTCTGATGCATGGAACATACATTTCAGCGAAAAACTGTAAAGCCTTCTGGCCCTGAATCAGAAGGTGCCAGTTTTAATACTGGGACTCGCTCTTGGCTTTTTTGGAATCTGTTAACACGGTTCCTTCATGCAGTTAAATGGATACCTGAGCAGTGTGTAACTATCTCATCTAAGGCACAAGGAGAGGGAGGGGGAATAAGCAATTAGATCTGAAAGAAATTCAGTCACATGCATAAGATCACAGTGGGAAGTGGGGACAAGGGGCCTAATCTTTTGAGCACCAGGTTCTCTTCTTTCTTTTGGTAATGACTGTTTTTTGTTTTTTTTAATTTTAATTATTTATTTCAGAAAATGAAGCAGATTCTCTGTTGGCTGTGATCTTGACTCCGCTAACTACAACTTTCTAAGAAGAGTGTGAGTTTCTGCACAAGCCTGCTATTCCATTATAGGAGTCTGAATAACTGGAAAAGACGAGTGAGCCTTAGTTTATACCCAGCTGAGGATAAACACAGTGGAGAGAATTGTCCACAGACAGAGGATGCGCATTTCTTATCCATGTCCATTTAATATGAGGTCAATAAATGTTCATGAGACAACAGAACTACTTTGTTGCTTTGTGTTAGTACCAATAATCATGTTACTCCTCTCCGACAGAGACTTTATAACCAGGCTCCAGCTCCTCATAACCATAAGGAAGCATGCAGTGCACCGAGGAAAATTATATTAGCTTTTCTAGTCCTGCTGTAACAAGTTTCCACAAACTTAGTTGCTTGAGACAACACAAGCCTGTTATTTTATAGTTCTGTAGCTCAGAAGTCTGGAAGGCATCTCACTGGGCTAAAAACATGTGTGTCAGTCAGCAGGGCTGAGTTCTTTCGGGGGGCTTGATGGAAGAACCCAGTTTCTTTCCTGTTCCTCTTTTATCTTAAAGCCATAATGGCCGGTTGATTCCCACATATGTCACAGAGTCACTGACACTGACTTGACCACCTCCCTCTTCCAAATTTAAGGACCCTGAGAACACACACGGGCCTGCCTGGGTAATCTAGGATAATCTCTATTTCAAGGTCAATTGATTGGTAACTTTAACTCCCCTTTGCCATGTAATTTAACATAGTCACTGGGTCTGGGAATTAGTGGGTAAGATGAATCCACCATATACAATAATCAGAATTGACGATTCTTTTCTTTCAGCTCTTAAACGATATTGTACCACTTCCTTCTGGCTTTCACGGCCGATGTTTTCTCTCGTCACCTGTGTTGGTTCTCCCTTGGGGATATGTTGTTTCTCTTGCTGCCTTCCGGGTCTTTCCTCTGTCTTTATCATAAGATGTTTGATTACAATGTGTTTTGGTGTGGACTTCTTTGAGTTTATTTTAGTTGGAGTTTGCTTGCCTTTTTACATCTTAAGGTTTATGTTTTTCTCGGCCAGGTTGGAGAAATTTTCGGTCAGTATTTCTCTGAGTTCTTTCTCCGGTCTGCCCTATTTCTCACCCCCTCAGATGACAAGCATATTAGGCCTTTTGTGATAAACCCACGCAACCCTACGCTCTGTTCGATTCCCCCGTTCCCCATTTTCTCTCTATTGTTCAGACTGGGTACTTTCTATTGTTCTGTCTTCAAGTTCACCCATCTTTTTCCATGTGCAGTTGAGCCTATCCATTGTTTTAAATTTTTATTTACTGTGATTTTAAGTTCTAAATTTCCTTTTGGTTCTTTTATACATTTCCATTTCTTTGCTGAGACTTTCTCTTTTTTCCCCATTTGTTTTAAGCATGTTTGTAATTGCTCGTGGGAACATTTTTATGATGACTGCTTTAAAATCTTTGTCAGGTAATTCTCACATCTCTGTCATTTTCATTCTGGCATCTTCTGATTATTGTTTTCACTCACGTTTAGATTTTCCCGATTCTTGGTTTGATGAGCAATGTTTTCATTGAACAAGGATATTTTTGGTGCTATGAGACAGAGAATTTTATTGAAATCTTCTGTCTTAGCTGGCTTCCTGTGACACCATTCCAGCAGGGGAAAGGTGGGGGCACTGCATCACTGCTGGGTGGGGGCAGAAATACAGGTTTCCCCTGCAACCTCTGTTGAAGGGGAGGGATTCCTCATTATTGCTGGGTGGGGGGTGGAATTCTGACACCCCACTAGGCCTCCTCTGATACTACACTACCTGGGAAGACTAGGAGTGCCTCGGTAGTGCCTCCCATGTGGTCTCTGTTGGTACCACCCCGGTGTAGAAAGGAGAGTGCTGCTTTATTGATTGATGTGGGGTGAAGTCCAGGCTCCTCTTCTGGTCTCCACTGACATCATGGGGGAGGGGAGGGAAGGGGAGAGGCTCAGGCTGCTAGGTGGAGATGAAAGCTTGGGTTCCTACTTGACCTTCTCTGACAGAGGGTTGGGGCACCTTGTTACAGCTTGGCAAATGCGGAAATCTCAGCTTCCCACTTGGGTCAGAGTTTTTTTCCTGTGGTGTTTGACTGTAGTAGAATGGCTATCGTCTAAATGTTTTCTGTCTTGCTAGATTGTTTCTGGGTCATTTGGTTGGAAAGAATAGGCTTTTGTTGGGGCGGTTTTCATCTGTGTCTAGTGGTATTTCTGTGTTGCTGGCTTTTTCAGCTACATGTCAGAGATTTATAAAGCAAAAAAAAAAAAAAAAAATCTAGAGAACTTGCCACCCTGTTGTTTCCGAGTCCCTGGGTCCCTATTTCAACTGCCTTATTCTCTCCAACTCTCCAAGTCTTCTTATGTTCGTTTTATATTTAGTGTCCGGGGCTCATAGTTGTACGTAGTGGGAGGAACAGGAAAAATGTGAATACCCCATCTTTCTGGAAGCAACACTTGGCTTATTTTAGACATAAGTAAAGAAGCTGCAGGTGAGTTTTAGGTCGGACTGGGCTTTGTTTCCCATATTGACAAACCTTAGGGAAGGTTACTTGAAGGTACCATGACTCATTGCATAGGCAGAGACTAGGCTGAGCCTTTTGCCTGTCACAGTGCAGAATTTGGGGCATTTAAATGAAGAATGAGACTTAGAGATCACTAATGTTCACGAGTTATCCGCTGACACACCATGACAGACTCATTCATTATCATTCCTTTTAGATGGGCCGTCTGTTTCCTTTTGAATGCTTCTGGTGCTGAGAAGGGCAGCTCCTTCTCAAATCATCTGTTTTTCGGAGAATTCATGTTTAGAAAGAACAAAATCACTTCTTTGAATAAAAGAATAAATAAATGAGTTTGCATTTGTTGAACTTTATTGCCAAACATGATAGGTAATTTTATATGCATTATGCATTTAACTCTTACAAATAATCCGGTTACATTATCTGTGACAACATAGGTTAAAATGATAAAACTTATACAAATCCTTAAACTTTTTCACATAAATCAATTTTTAAAAAATATATCTTTATTGTGATTTCAGAGAGAGGAAGGGAGAAGGAGAGAGAAAATTGAAACATCAGTGATGAGAGAGTCATTGATTGGCTGCCTCCTGCATGCTCCTGACTGGGGGTCGAGCCTGCAACCCGGGCATGTGCCCTGACTGGGAATTGAACTGCGATCTCTGGATCCTAGGTTGATGCTCAACCATTGACCCACGCCCAGCAGGGCTAAAACAATTTTTTTTTTTTCTTATGACATGAGGACCTTTTTCAACGCAGAAAACTTGGATTAGTGTAACAAACAAAATTTTAAATTTTATTTAAGTTTAAACAACTGCATGTGGCTTGTAAGTACTGTGTTAAACTGTAATCTAAAAAAAAATAGGGCTATAAATCAAATAAATGCACTAATGAATGTGTAATTATAAGTCAAAACAAGAATTCAGAAGGAAAGAAACATGATTCCATGCACGTTTATAACAAAGGGTCTGAGTAGGAGCTAACTAGGCAAAGAGAAGGTGGGGAGTGGAGAACATTCCAGGGTGTGGGAGAGAAGACATGCTCTGGGCACAAGGAGCAGGAAGGGCGACGGAAAAGGCCAGTCTGCAGTAGGGAGAAGGGAGAGCGAGATTTGAGATGTGTCTGGAGAGGGAGGAGGGGACCAGCCTTGATGGCCACCTTTAGGATTTAGTCTTTATTGTAGGAGCTATTGTGAATTTTAAAGCTGGGGTTGGCAGATTATTATCACATATACGGTTTGAAAAGCCTATCCTAGCTGCAGACTACGGGTTGGAGGATTTGGAGGGAAAGCTAAAATGATTACAGGTCACCAGGTAGCATATTATAGTGTGCAGGTGAGGTTGGCAACAGAGATAAATGGATGAAGTAGAGCAATATTTACAGAATTAGAAAAGGGGACAAAAGTTGGTGGTGGATTTTGTATGTCAAATGGGACAAGCCAGAGCTATAGATTTTATATTACATGAGTGGCTGGATGGTGGTTTCCAGAGCTGGATTACCAGATTAGTTTTGCTTTGGGAATATTGAGTGGTGCCTTTAAAGTATTCAAATAAAGACGTCAAACAGGAAAAGATGTAAAGCTCAGTAGAGGTCTCAGCAAGAGATATAATTTTGTATTATTGGCACATAGATGATAATTGGAGCCACGGACAACACGCCCCTCCCCCCCCAAGCTTTACTGAGGTATAACTGACAAAACTGTACATATTTAAAGTGTACAATCTGATGAGTTGATATACATATACATTATGAAATGATTACTGCATTCAGGTTACTTAACACATCCATCACCTCACAGAGTGACTTTTTTTTTAGGATGAGTTTTTAAAAGGAGATACTATATAGTGATAAGAGACAAGAGTTTAAAACAAAATTAGAGGAATTTTATAATTCCATGGCTAAATGGAAGCAGATGCATCTGCAAAATCCACACAGGCTCTAGCTCCTAGATGGTGGGAACTGCGACTTTGTATTCATCATTACGCCCTAAACTTCTGATAAAATAAATGGCATAGAGAGGGAGCTCAGTAAATATTTTTAAATAAAATAAAAGTGGGACCACCAGAGAGTTAGACTATAAAAGAGGTGCACGCAGTATCAAAGGGAAAGAGTGTGTCTATTGCTGCTGAGAAACAAGTTAAGATAAAGATTGAAAAATGTCCATTGGTTTTAGCAGCCTGGAAATGAGCGGTGAGCTGTTTAAGTGGAATAATGGGAACTAAAGTCTTGGTTTATAAGCCTTTGGCAGCCTTTTGTTTTGATAAAGGTTATTGGACAAATATAAGCCACCGTATATGAAGACTGAAAACAGGCAGAATGGTCAATGACATAACAGAAAGGAGAAAGGTAATATGCGTCCCTGTGGAAGTCTGACGAGAGAAAGTGTACCAGACAGAAGCCTCCCGATCCATGTTCTAGAACCTGGCGAGGCTCAAGGACGGGAGGTGAGACAGGTAACATAAAACAGGTTTATATTCTCCATTATTCCAGCAAGGGACAGTAGGTTTATTCTCAAGAAAAACTGACCCAGAGAGGTGCTGGGCTTGGGGGCTACTGCCATTGAAGAGAATATGAGTGAAGTGCTGTTCTAAGAAAACAGGGCAATGAAATGAAAGCCTATAAAACGAATGCCCCACCTCCTACCCTGGCCAGCTCCAAGGTGCCACCAGGGAGGATTACGCTTGTTAAGCAG